CCGCTCCAAGGCTAAGCGTTCGAGGGCGTTATTAGGTATATTGACAGCTGACAAGTTGCTCTTCAGCTTGTCATTGTATCCTAGTCCTGGGCGTCCTATTATCTCTCTCTCTCTCTCTCTCTCTCTCTCTCTGTATATATATATATATATATATATATATATATATATATATATATATATATATAAGTAAAGAGCCAGACAAACCTACCTAGGTTTCACCTACGCGGATCGTCAGAAAATATATAGCCGACAACGCAAAAAAACATGACCGTGTGACCAAAACAAAAAAAAAGGTTTTGCCGGACGAGTATAGCTGCTTATATTTATAAGGATTATTAATACTAATATTCTTATAAATATAAGCAGCTATACTCGTCCGGCAAAACCTTTTTGTTTTTTGTTTTATATATATATATATATATATATATATATATATATATATATATATATATATATATATATTTATACATTGTTCATATATATATATATATATATATATATATATATATATATATATATACAGAGAGAGAGAGAGAGAGAGAAAGAGCGAAATAGATAAATATAGAGAGAAATAGTAGAGATTTATAGAGATATAGATATCAATGTCTTTTGAAATTTTTTATCATTTCTTTTTGGTTGTTTAATTCATTTTTATATTTATTTTTTGATCATATCATAGAAATAAAGAAAAAAGCATTCGGTATGATTCATGCCGTCCTTTAGCATTGATAACCTGCCTCAGCCGTTATAACATCTTACTGGCTTGACTGCAAAAAACACAACCTGCAGACATTTTATGAATTATTTCTAGAAAATATTTCATCCACCTGTTTGTTGCACTTCTATAATCGGAAGATTTCAAGGTAGGACAAGCGTACAAGAAAATTTCAAGTCTAGCTAGAAGACGATTTCAGTATTTTAATCCATACGGCTTTAGTTTTTAGAACATAAGACATTAGTAACAAAATTAAGATGATTTGGTTTGGTTTGGTTCGTTTTACGGTATATCAACCTCAATGTGTCATTTAATGCCGACAAAATTTTTATTGCTGGTAATATGTTTTTCTTCAAAAATCTATTTCTGGGAATATTTTTCCTTGACGAAACCTATAGCTGGTCATATTTTTTTCAAAGGATGTATAGCTGTTTGCATTGTTGTTACTCTTTTTTTTAAAGTATTGCTGATAATATTTTTCCTCAAAAAATATTGCTGGTAATATTTTTTTTATTACAAAGTCTTACCCAGGACGCGGATGTAGTTTTTCGTCATACTTATTACAACGTTTCGGCCCTTCAGTATCTGTCTATATTTCTGAGATGAGGTATTAAGTACACTATTTACATTATTCTTGCTATTGTCCTCATCTTTGTCGCCATATTTATTACAACGTTTCGGCCTTTCAGTATCTGTATATATTTCTGAGATGATATATTATATGCACTATTTACATTATTCGCACTATTGCCCTCATCTTTGTCGCCATATTTATTACAACTTTTCCGCCCTTCAGTATCTGTCTTTATTTCTGAGATGAGGTATTATGTGCACAATTTACATTATTCGCATTATTGTCCTCATCTTTGTCGCCATATTTATTACAACGTTTCCGCCCTTCAGTATCTGTCTATATTTCTGAGATGAGGTATTATGTACACTATTTACATTATTCGGATTATTGTCCACATCTTTGTCGCCATATTTATTACAACGTTGAAGTCGTTGTACTCTCGGGCCTTCTTCAGGTGAAATGTCGATCAGAACACTTTATTTCGCTTACTGGGGTAGATTATTCTAGTTCCACGTGCCATGTCAAATGGATGTCTGTTATCAGTTACTTTCACTGTCGAAACTGTTAATTCCCCTCTACAAGTTCTCCACTGCCTTTACCGGGTATTGAACTCACACTCTTTGGGTACTCACACTGGATCTAACCAACGCCTTTATCCACTGAGCCATGTGTCCTTGAGTACACATTAAACATCCATTAAACGTGGCACGTGGAACCATAAAAGTCTATCCCAGTGAGCGAAATTAAGGGTTCAGTTCGACATTCCAACCATCTGAAGAAGGCCAGAGCGTACAACGGCCGAGACCTTGTAATAAATATGGTGACAAAGATGAGGACAATAGTCAGAATAATGTAAATAGTGTACACAATACCTCATCTCAGAAATATAGACAGATTCTTTTTTTGTCTCTATTCCTATTAGGTTTAATGTAGCAAGAAAATATAATATAAGAAAACTAACACAAATGTAATATTTACAAGGCTTCATTTAAATGTGTGTTATTATTAAAGATTTGTTATTATTAATTTTTCACTTGTACTTTTTCCACTTATTGAAATGTGTAAATAAACAACAACAGCAATAAGTGGCAAAAGTAGACGTGAAAAATTATTAATAATTTTTCATCTAGCAAATTTGGACACCTTCAGACTTAGTAATTGTGTTTTTTATATTTAAATGCTTAATGTAGTGGGAGATATGTTTGAAAATACAAAATAATATCACCAAACTGTTAGGTAATCTGCCGTATTGAATTAATGGATTTCTTCTTAATTTGACATTACTTATAACAACAAACGTTATATTTAGTAACTCAACTTAAGGAATTCACTTGCTTTGTTGTAACGGCTTCTCCTAGCTTAATGGGAAAACACCAGACTTGAAATAAAACACACGAGGCTTACTTACAACCATAAGTAGTTCTGTAAGCCTAAATAACAGAACACTATATTAATATGTTGATAAAGTTGTCATTAATATGGATGGGTTGACATCAATTTGTTGAGAATGAGGTTCAAGTGGTCTCATATGAATTAGATTATGGTAAATTGAGTTTGAATTACGCTTGTCTTTAATGAACCTTTCTTATTCAGTGAAATAACTAAGATGGCCTCCTCACTCAGACGTGTACATTCACAAACTTGACACTTGTAAGGATATATTTAAATATATTTATTTCTTAAACATAAAAAACTTATGGCACAAGGCCAAAGGGGAAAATGGGGAGGGGCAGGTCTTCATTAGCTATTCTAGTCCTAGTTAATTAGAATCATGACCTATTCATTCATTACAATTTGCCCATTCAACGCAAGAACTCATCCATCACCACTCAGTCCTGTATTTACTATAATACCGCATATTTCAAGGGGACCTACAGAATATCACATGATGTAAAAATTTCATTTCATTATCCATAAAATTCGTTATATGAAAATAAACTCTTATTATTTTGAAGGATGTATGGGTCCTACTAACATTGTTTTGTTTTCGTTTTATCTTTGTGTTTGTTTCTGGTTTCATGCTCCCACCCCATACCCTTTCACTGTCGAAACTGTTAAATGTAGCCGTCTCTTCTACTCCAATAGCTCCATGCCTCGCACCTCTCGCCAGTGGAACTCCCTCCCCTTTTCCTGTTTCTTTGATAACTATAATCTCCAACTATTCAAACATAATGTCAATCGACGTCTCCAGATGCCTTGATCTATCCCCTATCCTTCTTTTCATCCTTTCCTCTATCACGCCTATTTGCTCTCGCTCCAACTCTCTTGCGTGCTAGTTGCTTCCCGCCTTGCTTGGGGTGAAACGCTTAAAAAAATAACCTTTATTGATATAACCTGGGGACAGCTTGTTGAAATATAGCAGTCAGAATGTTTTTCTGACAAGAACGTTATGCCATATCTTTCATTACTAAAATATATGATATAAATATAAGATGAGTAAAAAAAAAAAAAATTAGTGCTGGACACGTAAAGCCATACGCATTTTAAAGCAACAATTTTTTTTCATACCACGTACACATAAAAATCTAATAAATATATATATATATATATATATATATATATATATATATATATATATATATATATATATAAACCTAAAGAGCCCGGTAAACCTACCTAGGTTTCACCTAAACGTATCGTCAGTGTAAAATTGGCCAAAGAGTTAAAAATGAAACGGAAGATATAGCTTAAACCAAAAACCACCATAACCACGTGACCAAAAGAAAAAATAGTGAAAACTCAACAACGAGGTGTAAGGGTTCATATTCTTCATTCAACAACGGAAAATAAAAAATAAAAAAAACTATTCTAATAACCAGCAATTCCTATGTCTACACCTACTAAGAATTTCCGATTTTAGATTTAATAAGTTATTGGGTTCTTTATTGCTAGTAATAGCTAAATTTTGCTCCGTGTATAGGGAACAAAATTTATTACCTGCTTTTGCCTGACAGTTTCAACAGTGAAACCGTGTGAGCGAGATGCCAGCCTAGTAGAACGCTTAAATTCATGAAGTTTGGGAACCAGCAAAAGCAGCTCATCGGAACAGTTACCATGAAAGTATTTGTGAAAAAAGACAGAGGGAGGTGAGGGCACGTTTGTGAAAGAGCGATTGCAGACAAGATACAAGATCAGGGTCAATTACATTGCATATCCTTCTCTGGATTTTATTAAGGACCTTGAGACAAACAGAAGACGCTTCAGACCATATATGACAGCAATACTGCATGCAAGGGCGAATGGTTGATTTGTAGATTTGAAGGATCTACTCCAGCGAGAAAAATTTCCTGGCGCGGCATAGGGAGCCAACTTTCCTTGCGGTGGACGAAGCTATTGACTCAATGTATTCGTTCCATCTCAGGTCAGAAGTCAATGTGAGATCGAGTAGTCGCAAAGAGGACTTCTAATGTAACTATGGGAACAAGGTTAACCACATTGCTGACATTAATGACTACAATGTACGAATCATTTGATTCTTATCAAAAGTCAATCAAGTGCCGGTATTTCTTGCTCGATGTCGACGTATAATCAGTTAATCTCAGGTTTTATTGAGATTAGCTTGAGGGGTTACAGAGCTTAGTTATCAGTCGATCAGCTGGAGGGAAGAATATTGTAAACTGCGGAAAAATAGAATGACTTAATTAAAAGGGCAAATGGGAAACTGGATCTTCAAATAAAGAAATAATAAAAATTTAAGGAAAGCATGAAGCATTAAAGATAGATAGTAAGAAGAAGGAAACGTTGAAGCAAAGAAGAAAGAAAGAAACGTTGAAGCAAAGAAAGACAGAAACGTTGAAGCGAAGAAGAAAAATTGAAACGTTGAAACAAAGAAAGAAACATTGAAGCAAAGAAGAAAGAAACGTTTAAGCAAAGAAGGAAGAAAGAAATTTTGAAGCAAACAAGAAACAAACGTTTAAGCAAAGAAGAAAGACGGAAACGTTGAAGCAAAGAAGAAAGACGGAAACGTTGAAGCAAAGAAGAAAGACGGAAACGTTGAAGCAAAGAAAGACAGAAAAGTTGAAGCGAAGAAGATAAAAATAAACCTTGAAGCAAAGAAGGAAGAAAGAAATTTTGAAGCAAAGAAAGAAATTTTGAAGCAAAGGAGAAATTTTGAAGCAAATAATAAAGGTTAAAATAAAAGATTAAGAAAAAAAGGAAAAATTAAAATATAAATAATGGAAAAAATTAGAAGTAAAAAGGAATCGAACGAAAAATGACAGGTGATAGAAGTGATAAAAGCTAAAAAGTGAAAAAAAATCTATGTTTATATCAAGGAAATACTAAATCCAAGAAAAGAAAATAATGATAAACTTAAGGAAAAATTACATAAATAGAAAAGTTTTAAGGATCAAGAAAGAAAAGAAACAGGAGAAAATGTTTAAAGATGAAAGAAAAGAAAAATGCAAACTTGCAGAACGACGTATGACCCACATATCATATAACAGGTAAGATCTATTTCTTGTTTGATCGCAAAGTGTCTCATTAAACACTTTCTAATTACTGATGGCAGATTGTCTATGTTAATTATGAAATGTCAATTCCGCTTCCATCAGTTATTGTCAAAATTTCATTTCACTTTCCTCCCAAAAAACAAATTGATATGCTGCTTTCTATATCTCTGAGATGAGGTATTATGATTACTTCCATTATTTACATGATTCGGACATTTATCCTCATCTTCATTGCCATATGTACAACGTTTCGGCTGTTGTACGCTCCGGCTTTCTTCAGATAATTAGAGTTTCAAACCGAACGACGAAATAAAGGGTTCGATTCGAAATTCCAATCACTTGAAGAAAGCCGGGGGATACAACGTTGTGAATATGACAATGAAGATGAGGATAACATTCCGAATAATGTTAATAATGTAATATGCTGCAACTGTAATCGCTACTGGCGCGGTGAAATGTCACAGTCGGATGGTGCTAAAATAGTTGTTTACTTTATGTGCAGAGTTGGCAGTCGAAGAGATAGGTTTATAGATTAACGTTTTCGAGGATGGGTAGCTATGATAAAGTAAAATTTATAAAACGTAGAAAATCTTTTACCGTTGTAAAAGGAAGGTGGGTTGTAATTTATTATTAAACAAGTTTTATTATTCCAACTTAGAACTAGTCCTGAGTAAGACGTTAGACTACATCCACGTCCTGGGTAAGACGATAAACTACACCAAGCAGCAGCAGCAAAGCCTCTGATCAGGAGGTTTTGTGGAGCGTAACCACCTTTTAATTGCTGGTGTTCCCAGGTCCACCCTGACACAGGGTGGTACCATCTGTTAGTATTCCAGCTATGGGCAAATAGTTAACTATTACCACCAATACTTTTTTGAAAAACATTATGACTAGCAATACAATTTTGAAGGAAAAATATTACCAGAAACAGATTTTTGACAAAACAAAATATTACCAGCAATAAAAAATGTTGTCAGCATTAAATAACCCATTGAGGTTGATATGCCGTAAAACAAAATAAACCAAACCAATCTAAACCAGAGAATACATATTGTGGCACCATGCATACCTGACGAGCTGAGAGAAATATTCATAGATATATGATTTGTTTTTTATGGTTTATCAACCATTTAATAATTATTTAAGGCCGAAAAGTATTTTGGGTTTTAAGAATAATTCTTTCTTTACATTCAAGCGATCTGGAAGAAAGAAAGAGAAAACGAAGAAGAAAGAAAGAAAAAATAATACGAAAACAGGTCATAGGCGAGCACATACACGCACTGCTAACAGATAACAGGTGTCGAAAAATATTCAGGTCAAGCATCTGACCGATTTCCGCGGATCCGCGAAAAATGGAAGTTTGTTATCAATTGGTTGTCACCCAAGGGAAAAGAAAGAAAGGAGGAAAAGGAGAAACGAAGTTTAGGGACAATGAAAATATTGATAAATAATAAGTGGGAAGTGTGTCATTGGAATGATAGTAAAGGTCTAAGTGGGTGGGGAAGTGTATCTAAGGATATGAAGACAAACTATTAATACGAAAACATAGACAGTCTCCAGAATTAGAAAAGGCCACACAAGCTGGTCGCTGGCAAAATTTTTTTTGAGATAATAATGATTTTTATTATCAGACCTTCGAGCGGAGGGAAAATGAAATATTTTTATTCCGTTTCAGAAACGCCAACGAGTCTGAGAAATTCCTTTCTTAGATCATATCCAATTAGCGATAAACTGCTTGACAAATACCACGTGTTAAAAAGCCGAGAGGGTCATCTCAGTCGCTCATGATAAGGGCGATTTAAATTAATATTTTTGTTTTTTAAGCAAGGTGTTTCTTTCCCAAAACAAATCCACGGATTGTCCACGCCCGACTAAAGACGTCATTAGCTAAATAAGATCACATGACACACGAAGGAGGAGGAAAGATACCCGACCAGGACCTCATTGGCAGAGAGCGGTCACGTGACGCACGAGGAGAATCGGTCGACGCCCCTGTCAGAAGTGTAAGTGTGAGAAGCCGATACGAAGAAGCGGGGAAGCAGGCACACGCCCCTCAGAGGCACAGTAAGGGAGTGAGAGTGAGTTACCGAAAATGGAAAAGAATGAAAAATCCCTAACCAGAAATAAGAAGGGTGGATACGTATTTAGAATTATCGAAGAACCCCTGGCGCCGACAGACCCACCCCAGTTTTGACGGCGTCAATAAAAACGAGACCCCAACCGACAGAAATCAGTTCAGCCGCGGACGGCGGGAGAGTTCAGCCGCGGACGGCGAAAGAGTTCAGCCGTGGACGACAAGCAGAGATGAGCGCCCAGTGTTGAGACCGCGTCAAGATAGCTGACCAAGATTCACGCACACTTCTGGACTCTTCTTCAACCAAGAACAAGTAGTTTGAAGAGCGACTTAGAATCAAGACCACAGAAATAAGTTTTTTTTTTTCGACTTTCGTCCAAAGACACACCGAAACACAAATTTCTTAGAGAGCAGACAACTTGAAGCCTTAAAGTTGCCTAGTAAAAGCGCCGTGCCACAATCCACAGAACGGGTCGGGAAGTAGACATAGTCCTATGTACCAAGCAAATAGACATAAAAAGTTTGTTACCTTTTTCTTTGATACGTTGGACCTTGTGAGTTTTTATTTTATTTTCTTTTATACATAATTGTGTGTTATCACCCCCGTTCGACTCAACTTGCATTACGGTCCCAACCCCTGTTTGATCTCGTCTGTCTAAGATCAATTCACAACGTGGGTAGGCAGACTGGGGATCAGTGCAGTTACCCTGGTAACCAGGCGTTGGAAGCGGGTTGGGAACGGCGAGATTGGTATCAATCTAACCAAAGGGTTAGAACGTCACGTTTGGAGCAGCGAGGAGCGAACAGCTGACGCCGCGGCGAAGACGTCACAGTTGGTGCTGTCCGTGACCAGGATATCAGAGCCTGGGGAGCACGTGACGTCACAATTGGCGCCGCGACCGTGATCGAACGACACAGTCGACGCTGCGACCGGGGGACGACGTCACAATATTCTATTCATACGAATCTATCCTAAAAATGTTGTCGGCATTAAATAACCCATGAGGTTGATATGCCGTAAAACAAAATAAACCAAACCAATCTAAACCAGAGAATACATATTCTGTTCATACGAATCTATCCTAAAAATGTTGTCGGCATTAAATAACCCATTGAGGTTGATATGCCGGAAAACAAAATAAACCAAACCAAACCAACTGAGAATAAATCATAATTATCATTTACTTGAGAAAATTATATAAGTATATGCCAATACCAACCAACAATGTCTACATGTTTAATATTTAATTGTTCTTCTCTTACATCTGAATAGATTGCTGCACATGCTGATCGAAATGACTTTGATGTAGTGTTCATAGCTTATGCTTTTGTTCTGTTTCTTTTCAAATATATTCGACCATTCAATAATTAGCAAGAAGTAAATGTATTCAATATCGTAAACAAAAATTTCATTAGCTTCATACTAACATATATAGGAACGCTGCATTTCAAAATTAAATACTCGTATATCGTATAAGTAGCATGGTGTGTAAAACTGGTGCTCAGTTTGAAAGCACTAGAGGTCAAACTGATAATTAAACATTTTATACACATTTTTAAATATTTTATGCATCTTTTAAAATACTATTCCCTGTTGTGAGAGGTGTTTTGGTAAATGTGAGCTGTTTTAGATTTACAAAGTATAAAAAGTGGAGAGCTTTGATTGCCTGAGTCCTGAAGTGACAAGGAATATACAAGTAGTAAAATTACTTGTGCTATACAAAAAGTAATCATGTGTATTGTGTCATTTTCCATCCTTATTTGTTCTATCCGACAAATAAATATCATGAGATTATAGATTTATGTTCCATGTTGTTTTAATCGTTTATTGTACCTAATTTATAAATTAAATATTATATGTATGCATGTAATAGAAAACGCTATATACACTGCTGGCCAAAATCTTAAGGCCAATGAAAATAAGGAAAAAAAATATTTTTTGCGTTGTTAGAGCTTCAAAAAAAAGAAAATTAGAAAAGCAAAAATAAAAATTAAAAACTTTTTAGCATTTAATAGGGAAAATTTGAATACTGGGAAATTAGGGTAAATATTAGATTTTCCTTTTCTTATTTTTCCTTTTCATATTTTCTACTTAAATCAGTATAACAACGCAAATGGTATATTTTTCTTTATTTTCATTAGCCTAAAAATTCGGGCCAGTGGTGTATTTTCAGCATTATCTGCGGTTTTCTGCTTTATCCTGTGATTTAATCTAGTAATAAGTGACTGCTGTAACTATATATTTGGTTGTTTGTCTGAATCAACTCCTGTTGGGATACTTCATGTCGCAGTTTGTATGGAGCACCCAGGGAGAATCAAATCGTCTACTCAGTATTAAGATTCAATCCGATTAATCTCATTAGTCAGTATTACGCACCGACATGACAATTATATATTTGACGCCAGTATATATCTCTACCAGCAGCATGGCCCGGCGTTGCCCGTGCTTGATTAAAAAATCATACGACTCATACAGCAGTCGCTATCACTTGACTTAAAATATTTTTGCCCTTCCTTGCCTTTAAAAGAGTGCCCTTTGCCGTGCTGATGTTGCTACATGCCTTACTTCTTGCCTATCTCACACAGCGATTTTTTTCTAAGCCCTATAGTAAACATTAAATCTGTTATGAAAAAAGAACTAAACAAAATGAACACAAAACGATCAGCTGTAAAAAAAGGACTCGTAACTGGAAAAACCGAATGAAAAAAGAATGTTAACACAAATACTTTTTCACACCCAACCCAGTTCTGCGGAATCAGAATCAACGTTGAGTTTAAGCAAGCGAATGAGCCAATTGGAGTAAAATGCCATGCAGATTTAAATTTTTCCCACTTGCGACGAATGCAGCTATCGATTTTTTGCATGCTAGCATGCTAGTTAATATTCGTGTCAGTCAGCTGTTGGCTCTCACGCTGGCAAATAGAATCTTGCTGCCTATTCGTGGCAGCCAGCTATAGGCTCTCACTCTGACCAGTACAACATGGCCGCAAACTACATGAAAACTGCCGTAGAAGCATGAAAAAATTGATTATTTCCACTATCGATGGGAGATGGGAAATGCAAAGTCGGCCTTGGCCTTCCCGCTTACTTGAAGCATGTGCATGTAAATTTTGGTGCAAATCCGTCGAAAATTGCGGCCGTGCATTCGTTACACACACACACACACACACACACACACACACACACACACACACACACACACAAACATCCTTCTTTTGAAGATAGAGGTATCAAACGAAAATAAAATAACATTTTATAACAATAGAGGGTAACATCCTCCTTGTAAATGCGGATTTAAATAGGCCAGCAAAAGCTATCAACTCTGATATTATCTAAATTAAGAGAAAACAAATTCCAGTCACAAGAATGAAATTATCTTCCAGGCAGCGATTAATGCCATGCACTGTTTTCTGATTACGATCTGCCCTGTCTTGCGATTATTTTCCTTAATAAGAATTCATTTTTTCCATGCCAAAAAAGTGAATATTTTAAAATAGAAAAAAATATTTTACTTCAATTAACTCTTTAATCGGTCCTTCTACATCTTTGAAAAAAATGCTATCAGAAATGTTCATTAAAATTGTACCCCACTAAACATTTAAGGTTCATTTCGAGTAATCAGTTCTTTCAATGTATTTTTTATTTAAATTTTATTGTGGCTATTACAATATTATGTATGGAAATATATACTGTTTGCATTAAATAGCTTCAAACTAAAGCAGATTGGACAGATAATATTTTTATTGTAGCTATTACAATATTATGTATGGAAATATATACTGTTTGCATTAAATGACTTCAAACTAAAACAGATTGGACAAATAATATTTTTCTTATCTCACAACACTTAAAATCACTCATCTGGAGTATGGTTTAGATGAATGAAGTTATTTTGGGGCTGGGGAAAACAAAAGCAACAAATAGAACAAGTGCAATGGCATATGAAATAAAAGTGCATTGTGGTGTTTTTAAGAAGAATATGGTTCATGTTCTATTAAATTCAAAGATGTGCTGTATATAATATACTTTACATCGGAAATACTATTATAAATGTTAGTCTGTCGGAGTTAGCTCCTCCTTAATTCCCAAATTGTTCACTAGAGGTCGCTCTCCCTACACTATATATACTGGGCGACTTCTTGCTTCGTTCTCTTTTTTTCACTTCGTATTTCAGCGGACACATTTAAAAATCTAATCTCTCGTAGAAATCCGCGTTTTCGCCCACTTGTGGAAAAACGCCATGAAGAACACATTCACGTACATACGAACATTCACCAAAATATAAACTCTTTACTTTCACACACAAACACAAATGTTAATGTCTTTGTCACTTGTAAAATTATTGTTTAATACATATATTTGTTGATATATATATATATATATATATATATATATATATATATATATATATATATATATATATATATATCGGTTTCGTTTGTTTTCTTTACATCTCATGTTAGTCAACTTCAGTCCTCCAGGTTCTTGTATTTGGACCTTCTAGCAGGAAATAAACGCGCGTGTTCCTAATTCAACAACACATAACCCACATGGTCCTCTACAAGTGTAATGATTATGTGTGTGGGGTGCCCGCACGTCAGTATTGCCAATGATAATTTATTCATAAAATGTTACCGACAACAGACTTTCTATAATATAGACGGGTAGTTGTTAATTTCACTGTTTGCTGTTAAACTGGGATATTTACTCAAGCACATGTACCTGCTAAAGTAACATTTATACTAACAAAATCTATGCAGACACCACCAGTATGTTGCTAAAAAATAAGCATACATGATGAAAAAATATCCAAATTTTAATAAGAACAGTATTAGCGGTCAAATCTTTATTAAGAGGAAATTCAGATTAGAAATGTTGTTTTTCTTGCGTAAAAGATGGGGGACCAAATATTCGTATAGTAGCGTCTTGTTGCGTTTCAAAACACGTTGATTTGGGAATTTCTGGATTTTAATAAAACTTTCAGCACTTATTCACTAAAAGAATTCAATTATTTTATAGATGTAAAAATGTCGTTTTGTTCTTACATCTCTTATCCACCACTCATTTGATTTTATGAAATCTCGGAAATTCATTTTTGTAGAGCTTAATGTTTATATTAGTTATAAGTATAAGTCCTTAGAAATTTACATCAAATTTTCTTTTGTCAAACGCAGTTACAGAAAATTTGTTCGGAATAAAACTGAGGCATTATTTAATTAGAAAAGCTTTTAATTGCTTTTAAGAATAAGATATGTTATGGAAATTGTCTTAACAAGAATTTTCCTTCGATAAATAACAAAGTTTTACAAGAATTTTCATTTTCTTTTATTTTAATTATAATAACCGTGACCAGTGGTAAGTTGAGCAAGTGGCGTCTCTTGAGTGCCTAAGATTTTAATTCAAATCGTCCTTGACAATTCGCACGATTGTTCACCTGCTGGTTCCCATTTCCTCGGCGATTTTCCTCGTGTTTTTGCTGGGGTTCTCCTTGACGACCTTGGTTATGTCGGCGATGAACTCAGGCATCCTGGTGGCGACGGTGCACTTCTTATGAGTCTTGTGTTCTGGTTTGAAATTGTCCAGAGGCCCCATAAACCTGTGCAAGATCGTAGACCATGATTTTAGTGTATTTAACCCATTCAGTCATTTCCTTGCCGGCGCAAAAGCTCTCCACGACAGCAGCTCAATGATCGTATTCTGAAGACATGTCGATTAGTAAGTACCTCGTGTATCAATGGCCAGGCAATTACTGATGTGTATAATACTTTCTAATTGGGCTCAGGAAACCGTGCTACGTCGTGACGTCACGGCGCTGTTTCCACGTCAAAATCCCGTATTTTTCTGCGTCACACTTTTTTCTTTTGATTCAGATTAATTAAACTTTAAAATAGTTAACATTCCTCAAATAATCATAAGAATATATTATTTATTTGAAATATTTTTAATAAACAGATTATAATGTGCCTGATTTTAGCGATTTAAAAGAATTTTTTTTAATTTCAGCTTGAAATTCAAACCATAGATGTTTTTTTGGGGGAAGATATATATATATATACATATACATATATATATATATATATATATATATATATATATATATATATATATATATATATATATATGTGTGTGTGTGTGTGTCTGTGTGTCTGTGTGTCTGTGAACTTTTAAAATTCAAATAAAACTTTTCGAATTCAGACTTATATAATTTATAATTACTTGGCTCTTATTGCGAATAACAAATGAGGAAATTGTAATATCATACAAAGCATATTTGAGGAATTGAGTGAATCGAATAAAACAATAGGAAATATCAGGAAGAGAAAACGGGTAGCAAAAACAAACAACGTGAGAATGGAAATGGGAACTTAAAAAACATGGGGAAAAAAAAAGAAAATGCGAAAAAATAAAGAAGAAAACTGGCGAGAACAGGAAATATTTTAATAAAATAAGCGCTTTTATTTTATTAGGTTTGTAAGAAGATAGAATAAAGTTATTTGATATATTCAAAGAGAATTAACGAAAAATATATATTTAAAACACAACCAAAATATTTAAAAATTAATTGATAATAAAAAGTTTAGGTAAATCTCAGAAATGCGATAAATAGAAAAAAATAAATCCAAAACGTATAGGCATTTCTAAAAAAAAAAGTAATGATGAACGAGAAATAAACTCTAAAATCGTAAAGAGTGATGGAAGATACAAAAGAAATATAAAATGTTGATACAAAAAATAGAAGGTGAAGATAGGAGAAATATTAACAATAATGAAATAAAAAAACCTACAAAAGCTGGACGACACTTCGCAGATATCTCTCCTGAGTAAAACCCCAATAGAGGAGAACATAACTAAAGACTGTGCGTACGCTATCCCGTGCAGCTGCGGAAATAAATATAGAGGGGAGACACCCCTTAAAGTAAGTCTTCAAGGACACCAGAAAGCTGTAACACGAGGGTAAGTGGAAAAATCAGGCGTGACTGACCACATATGGAGAGAAAAGGGAGATCACAGCCCTCTATGGGATCAGGTTGAAATCATAGACAAAGAACACCATTGAAAAATTCGTAGAATTAAGGAATCAGCACATATGCTAGGCCACAAAAATCCCCTGAGTCGCCCAAGCATAGAAATGAAAACAACATGGGAACCAATAATAAGGAATGCCACAGAAAAGCCATAACAACAAATTGCAATATGAGCTCTGGTAAAAATGGTTGCTGAAGACATTAGGTTTATAATATCCAGAAATTCATACACAGATGTCCTCGAGGACACATGGCACAGTGGATAAAGTCGTTAGTTAGATCCAGTGACAGGACCCAAATTTCAATACTCAGTTAAGGTAGTGGAGTACTTGCAGAGGAGAATTAACTGGAGATAACTGATAACTGACATCTATTAAACATGGCACGTGGAACTAAAACAGTCTACCCCAGTGAGCGAAATAAAGGGTTCAGTTCGACATTCCAACCACCTGAAGAAGGCCGGAGCGTACAACGGCCTAAACGTTGTAATAAATATGGCGACAAAGATGTGGATAATAGTCCGAATAATGTAAATAGTGTACATAATACCTCATCTCAGAATTATAGACAGATAATAAATAATGTAAATAGTGTACATGAAATAAGAGCAATTGAAAATAATGAAAAGGGAAATGAAGAAACATGGCAAAAATATTAAAATAGAGTTTTAACAGATGAAAAAAAGAGTAAATGAGAAAAAAGAGAAGCGAAAAATACAAAAGGAGATGAGAAAGTGACGAACAAAAGAAAGAGAACGTGAGAAAAAGAAAGAACGAGAAGAAAGTGGAAATAAAAGCAATGAAAGAAAAATATGTAGAGATAAAAAACAAAGGATAAATTGAGAAAGTTACAGAAGAAAGGATGAAACAAAAACAATGAAAGAATGAAAGAGAAAGTATAAAGTGAATAAAGAAAGTGAGAAGAGAAATGCGAACGAAAAAAAGAGAGAGGGAAGAAATACATAAAGGAAAGAAATATAAAAAAGAAGAACTAGAATAAAAGAAAACGAGCAAGAGATAAGAGACAATAGATAGTGATAAATGATATACAGAAGAAAGCGAATGAAAGAAGAAAAAAGAGATAAAAGAAATATTAAGAAACAAATGATGATGTGAGAAAAGAAAGAGTGAGCAAAGAAAGAGAAGACAGAGAAAGAAACAAATAAAAGAAAGAAAGAAGCGAGAAAAAGACAAAACGAGACAGGAATCAAAATGGAATAAATATTAAGAATATAAAGAAAAGAATTCTATGAAAAGAGGAGCAGAAATTACAAAAGAAATATTCTGCAACGCAAAAAACTTTACGCGATAAATGAAGCGAGATTTCGTTTATATCGCCTTCGGTTCAACATTATAGACTAAAGCATTAAATGTCTTTTTTTTCTTTTGGGTGTTGGAGAAAGGTTTAGAATTAAATGAAAATTTATACTAAAACGTATAGACGTATATAATTATAAATATTAATGAATACAGACAAAAATAATGAGAAACGATAAAATACACACAGACACATATATAAGACTACTTATATCCACACATACCCACATTTATATGTTGAGCGCTTATATATATATATTATTCACATTATTCGGACTATTGTCAAGATCTATGTAGCCATATTTCTATTTTCATAGGGTGGCACACTAACAATCGGCCTGAGCAAAATACCGTCTTTGTTAATCTTAGGGATATATGTGAGGTAGCTTGGTGTAACGCTGCGATAACTGCCTATACGTCTTAGGTGCGAAGTGATCGTTATGGCGACTAATGTGAGGACAATAGTCCGAATAATGTAAATAATGTCCATAATACCTCATCTCAGAAATATAGACAGATATATATATATATATATATATATATATATATATATATATATATATATATATATAAATGCATATTTCATTAAATAATATAGATAAGTTTTTGTCTATTTATTTTAAGTAAGTTCCTTTCATATTGTCTGATAAGCTTAATAACATTATCATTGAAAGACAAAAGGAAATTCACCATATTCATACATGTTTAAATCCAATCTAAGCTTTTGGCTTACATAAACCATTATCAAAGATGACAATTACATTTCACTATATCAAACAACACACGGACGAGACTATAATGATAGTCTGTTTTTCTTGCATGAAAAATTTCAAAGTATATATATATATATATATATATATATATATATATGTACCCAAGTATAGGATTGGTGTATACGGAATAAATTCCAATAACCAACAATTACTATTCTTAAAAGATATATATGTATATACTGTACTCTTTCGCTGCATCACAGCGCCTCAGTGCGATTAGACAACATAATCACTCAAACGCTTTGGTGTCAGTCTCATTCGCTGACTTTTCCTGAACAGGCGATATTTAAAGAATTCCAATGTTGATGTGTGTAACAAGCTACGTTCCTTGCGGCTCTGAACAGATGACAAGGAAATGAAAAAGCATAACTCGAAGATTCTCTTGTCGGCGTCAAATACAATGCTGAAGGAAGGAAAGGGAGCATTTTCCAAAGCATATTTGAAACTGCGAATGTAGCTGTTAAACTCGTGAAGCATGACCTGAAGTAGTAGTATGACGTCCCTGCAAGGAACTCTTCCCGACAGCGGCAAAATACCAATCCGGGTTTCGGCCTGTATGTTGTAGTCTGCAATAAAGTAAAGTTGAAGGAATTTAGGCGTAGAGGTCTCCTCAGGCAGCAGAGACCCAATGCGGTGGTATACCTGCCCCTGCACTTTGAAAGTGGGCATCCAACCTTCTTCTCAAACGACATGAGCCCGAAATGAGGTCATTTGTAAGTTGTTGTATTGCCCGATTGTTTTAAGGAAGTGGTTGGAGTCTGGATGGGAGCCGGCTATTAATCCACTCAACTGGGTAGGTGTTTCATGCAGAGGTGGCAGTCGAACTTTGCTGGTGGAGCAGCACAGACCAGCAGCCTCCCCGGCCCATTTGCGGGCGTTGCAGAATTGGCTAACGCAGGTCATGGACCCTACATTGATGTCGTCACGCGTAGTTAAGTTAATGCCGGGGTCATAATTGAAAACCAAGAAAGACCAAAAAGAGCTATTGAGACAGGTAATACCACGGGCAGCCGCAAGGCGCTGAATGTCGCCGTCGAGGCGTGTGTAGCGAGCTTGGGGAGTTTGAGATAAGCGCACAGCGGCCATGTTTGTAGCAGCTCTTGAAAGTCTGTTTGCACTTGTCTGTGGGCCCTCGGAGTTTCTGGCAGCAGAATTCGCTGCAGCGTTGCGGGCATTACGGGTTGCCCGCTGCAGTTCTGTCTCGGACTCGCTTGTCCTAACTGTTGTAGCAGTGTCCCTGGATTGACAGGCGCGCCTGCGGTCAATTGTTTCAGCTGCTCTCGACCTGGCAGTGGTGGCAATATTTCTAGCATTTCAAACAGACCTACGGAGCAGTGTCTCAGCAGCCCTAGCAGTTGCTGTTGCAGCAGCGTCCCTGGATTGACGGGCGCGCCTGCGGTCGAATGTTTCAGCTGCTCTCGACCTGGCAGAGGTGGCAGCATTCGTAGCATTTCGAACATATCTACGGAGCGGTGTCTCAGCAGCCCTAGCGCTCGCTGTTGTAGCAGCGACCCTGGATTGACGGGCGCGCCTGCGGTCAAGTGTCTCTATTGTCCTTGATTTCGCTGTGGCAGCAGCGTTTCTTACGTTACAAAGAAGCCTTTGATGATGAGTCTCGGAAGCCCGAGATGCAGAGGCGGTTGCTGCAGCCTATGCGTTCATTCTTGACCATTGTGCATTCTTGAGCCTTGATCTCAAGGAAGCCCTGTAGGCAGCTTTCCCAGCCAAGCAGGTGGCACGCTTCTCTTGTGACTGCGAGGCCTGCGTGAAGGTGCTGCATTGAGCGACCTGTGATAGTCGCATTGTAGTCTGCTCCTGGAACTCACGGGCCCTTCTTCCACTTATAGAGGACGTTCTTGCAGACCGAAAGCTAATACGTACCCTTTTTTTTTTTTTGGCCTCATGGGGAAAAGTGATGCTAGTAGTGGTTGATTAGGGTTGCTCAACTGTAGGATTACAAAGTCTAACTTAGTATCGCAAAGCGTGAGCCAGAATCAGGAAGGCAGGTAATTAAGTAAAACAGCTGAATACATTGTTTATGGTAGTTGGAAAAATGTAATTAAACAGACAAACGGAAAACATAAACGTAAGAACAACTTGCGCTAGGAGAAATGATCAGTTGAAGGAACCTATCGTATCAACCGGATGGCGGCGTAACAGGAACAGAAGTGAGACTTTCGTCCCACAGTTGTGCACAGCAGGTTCAAATGCAAAGTATTACTGGCCAATCGGTTATGCCAATCAGCGAGCGTCCTAGGGTCTCGAACACCAATCAGCGACCGCGTACTGCACTCAGCCAATGAGATACCGCTATGTGAAGCATGGTTACGCGTGTGTGAATGACAATCAGCTGTAGAGTCTGTAGTGTAGACGTCTCAGTTGAACATACGTTTGATTGGTGTATTCACAAATTCCGATGAAGACATGATTGTATCGACTTCTCTCAGGTATTAGTTGGTTACAAAGGAGCTCACAGGGCAGAAGTTTTTAATTGTCACAACTAAACCTGATAAATTTAATCAAAATCCCAAGTTGTGAAAAACATCGCCAAATTCAGGTAAACTTGATTTGAATGGGAAGTCAAAAGGGGTATGATTTAATCGATTTTTATCCGGTAATTGAAACCGATATTGAAAACGAAAGTCAGCACCTCAATACTGTCGGTAAATAATATGCTCAACGGGAATTGTGCTGAAAATTCTTTGCCATTTGCGAAAAATATAGCAAAAAATCAACTAGACTGTACTTGAATCGGATGTTCCAAAGTGATCGATTTTAACGATTTTTTCCAGTAATTGATATCGATATTGAAAATGAATGTCAGCACCTCATAACCGTTGATAAAAACAATGCTCGACGTAATTTTGGTGGAAATTCTTTGCCATTTGCGAAAAATATAGCCAAAAATCAGCTTGACTGGATTTGAATTGAAAGTCAAAAGTGGCATGATGTTATCGATTTTTTCTCCGATAATTGATACCTATATTAAAGAAAAAGGTCAGCAACTAATAACTGTTATTAAAACTAATGCTCAACGTGATTTTCGTGAAAATTCCTTGCACTTTCATTCCGTCAAGTACGAATGCCGTAAATTTCCGATCGGTGTGTGAATTCCCATGCCAATCGGACAAGCGGTTTGCTCAGGATGAGGTAACAAAATGCCAAACACACATACACACATACACACTAACAGAATGCCATTTATAGATACAGATACAGATACACACACACACACACACACACACACACACACACATATATATATATATATATATATATATATATATATATATATATATATATATATATATATATCAGGTCATCCCATAAGTTCTGTCCGAATTTTAACTTTTTGTTAAAATGAACGAAATTTAATGAGCATTTTATAATGTCTGATGGAGCTGAACATTATTTTTATCTTTAGATGCATTTAAACTTATCAAATTTCAGAGAACAATAAAATTAAATTTTGTTTGATTAAAACCCTGCTAACATGGAAGTACCCAAGAATCATTTGAGGCACATAATGCTTTATGAGTTCAAGAAAAAAAACTCAGCAGCCGAAGTTGGCTAGAAACATTCACTCAGTTTATGGAGAGGAATGTGTTTCAAAGAACTTGCAGAAGATGGTTTGCAAAATTCAGAGGTGGAGATTTCACCCTTGAAGATGAAGATCGAACCGGTCGTTGAGTTTGATGAAAAGCTTCTTGAAGCAACCTGCTTTATCAGTTGAGGAATTGGCAGTGGTTCTCAGTTCAAACCATACAACTGTTCATCCACATCATCAATAACTTAGAAAAGTTCCTAAACTTGGAAAATGGGTGCCTCATGAATTGTTTGAAAACAACCTCAAATCCCGAGTTGAAATCTGCTCTTCTCTCCATTCTCGCCAACTTGTTTCACCTTTTTTTGGATAGGCTTGTGACTGGCGACGAAAAATGGATCTTTTATCGAAATTTTAAGCGTCGTAGACAGTGGCTTTGTAAAGGGGAAGGACCCAAGCCACAGCCGAGAAGGGAACTTCATGGGCAAAATCTTCCTCTTTGAATCTGGTGGGATCGCCAAGGAATAATCCACTTTGAATTTTTACCACCTAATGCAACAATTAATGCTCAAATATACTGTCAGCAATTAGAGCGTTTGAACCAAGCTTTGGGGAAAAAAGACCTGCTCTAATGAATCGAAAGAGGTGATGTTTCACCAGGACAATGCGCGACCCCACGCAGCAAGAATTACGTCACAAAAGATCGAAAAACTTGGTTGTGAGAAAATTCTTCATTCACCTTATTCTCCCGATCTTCCTCCTTCAGACTACCATTTGTTTCGTAGCTTACAGAATCATTTGGAAGAAACAGGTTTTGTAACACAGGAAGAGGTTAAAACTGACATTTGTGAGTTCTTCGAATTAAAACCAAAAGACTTTTACAGTAATGGAATTAGTAAGCTTGTTAATAGATGGAAGGAAGTCATAGATAATCAGGGAAAATGCATTGTTGATTGAATCTGTAATTAAATGTAACATTTGGTCACTTGTTTTTTATTCAAAATTCGACAGAACTTATGGATGACCTGATATATATATATATATATATATATATATATATATATATATATATATATATATAAAGTGATCTGTATCTAATCATATTTCAAATGTCATAATTTAGACTTCATATAACCTGGTAAACACATAAAAGGGAACGAACTGATCGTGGTTTACTCAGTCGTTTATAGTGCTCCATCGGCGCTGCTGCGCCAACGAATGTACTTGTGTACTAAGCAACGTCTGCAATTACAATGAAATGCTTCACAGTTAGATGTTCTTCGATAAAACATTGGCATTAAATCTAAACTATTCTGTGAGTCTGTTGAAATCGATCCACCGTGTAGAAAGCAGTTAACAAGAGGAACATATTAAATGTTTAATGCATCCGAGTTGTCATCATAGAAAATTGATACTCTGATCAATTGAATATGACCAAGTCGCTGATGATGAACCCGATACAGCGAACTATAGATAGATTTTAAAATTGGAATGATTTTATAGTGAATTTTATTTCTTTTCTCCTGGAGCATTGTCGTGATTTTCTGAAACTCAATCGAACCATTCAACACGTAAGTGATCAAAATTATCATTCTATTGTACTTATTGTTTTTGTTCTATCGTTTGATATCTAGCGCTATAATGTCAAATACTGTTTGGCTTATATCATATATGTACTTATATATATATATATATATATATATATATATATATATTCGAAGATTATAACATAAATATGTTATAAAATAACTCCAAAAATAGCCATTTTGTTTCAACACTTCTGGTCTCTTATCAAGTCATGGTGTTGAACGTAGAATAAAGTGTTTTAAAAGGTTCAAATCAATCAAACACCCCTCGCTAAGGGGAAACGCTGTTACATAAGCTGGAATGACCAATCAAAATACAAGTATATGAGAATTCAAAAAAATTGGACAACGAACTAAGGTTGTAATAATTATTTAATGCTTTCATTTTGGGGTTAGACTAAAATAGAATTTATTCTAACTAATAAATATTAAATTATATGATAAAATTAAAAATTAAAAATTACCCATTTTAAAATTTAAATTTAATCTATATTAAGTTTAAAATTATAAAATTACCGAGGAAAAAAGAAAAAAATGCATATGTTATTCTATTAATTTTATTTTTATTGAAGTTAAGCTGGAATAAACGTTAAGATGAAATGTTGCACTGAACTTCATGACAACATAGATATATTTGAAGCATAAACAGAGGCAGAGGAGGATGACATCTTGCAAACGACAATAAATACACAATCAGATTATAATACATAAACACACAGACGTATTTAGATATATACACACACAAAAAGGCGACAAGACAGGAAATATATAATTATACGTTTACCAGTTTGTGACTGAAGAGGATAATTCCGAGTATGCTATAAATCCAGGGAGACTACAGAAACAGAAACTTTAATTATCCATTTCGCTAATATTTTTTTATTTTTTGTTCATGAAATAAAAATGATAAACGAATTGGATAATTAAATTCTCCGTCTTCTTATTGTCATTATATACACACACACACACACAAAAATACACACACACACACATATATATATATCAATTCTGAAGATTGTTAGTTTCACGGTTAAATACAATGTTCATATAGTATTATATAAGATATATATATAGGGGCCTGCACTGAAATTTCAATACGTATGGTTTAAAATTAATTTTTAAAATGAAAAATCTTTCTTGAAGATTTAATTTTAGCTTTATTTGAAAGCTAAATGGTTAAATTTACTATTTCCATTCAGTAAAATATTCTTGTGTATTTTAATTAAAAATCATATAGATTGGAATCCAAACTTTTCGGACGATTTTTTAAAATCGGCCATTTTCGTCATTTTAAGAAATTTGTAATCAAAACAATATTTTCGATTTTTAAAATTTTCAAAAATTTGTGACACTTTATTTAAGTAAAATTGTCAAATTTTAAGTTAAATTAATCTTGAAATTGAAACAAATATTACTTACTTATAGCATGAAAAATATATCATGCAAGCATTTCTTAAGAACGTGTCCTTTTTTGATCATGTTTTTATTGATGTTATTGACGATACCGATATGCTACGAGGTGATGGCAGCTAGTATGGATGACTAGAATTGACATAAATTTACGAAATCTAAGTGAACTTTTCAAAAAATTTTAACTACCTAGTAATTTTTAATAAATTATTATAATATTTTCAGCAATTATCTAATATTTTATTGACTTTTATTTACGTTTG